GCAGAATGAAAATGTTCACTTTCAAAAGCAGAGCCCCAAGATGACTTCACAAAGGGTGGGGGATCCCAGGGTAGAGAGTCTGGTCTGGGCCCCAGAGAGATGTGGATTTCACTGCTGAACAGAGATGGTTAGAGTGGCCATCTGATGCCCCACGGGGAGACGTTCAGGCCCCAAAGGTGCACTGGTCACCTTCCCTGCCAGCCACATGCTTCGTTTTGGGGTTCTACCTGTGCAGCCGGGATAGGGTCCCTCATTCGGCCTGCAACTTCCTCCTTTCTCCTTGCTGAAGCAGGCTTCCCAACATCCTTTCAGACTTCCCTCTTGGAATACATCTGATAGCTGAATGTGAAGACTAAGCTCATCCCTGGAATCTTCCCTCCTAGATTTCCCTCGTCTGGAGAGTTCTTTGCATGACCTTGAATCCTACCCATTTTCTTCAAAACTTTTTTTTTTTTAATATTTATTTATTTGTGCATACAGAACTGGGGTACAGGCCAGAGATGCGGAGGGCGAGAGGATTCACCAGAGACAGAGCGGGAAGCAGAACAGGCAGATTGATGAAGTACACTTCTGAGGGGAGCAGCGGGCGGGTCAGGAGAGGTCTGCCACGCCATGTGGATCTCCTCCAGGGCAGGTGGGGATCGAACTCATGCAGAAGTGGCTTTGGCTTCTTAGTGCTGTGCTTCAACCCGCTGCGCCACCAGGGAGGGCCCCAAAACTTTTTTTTATAACACAACAGAATAGAACAAAACAACCAACACTAGCCATTATATCATGTCTACTTTTGTCCCCTCTCCTCTCCCACTTCCTTCTCTTGTAACCTCATTTTGGTTATCAATGTCCTCTAGTTTTTGTTTTGTTTTTTTATTTTGTTGTGTCCACTCACTTGCCTCATTTCCTTGTGCTGCTTATGTAGGTTAAATCAGCCAATATCTGTCTTGTTCTTTCTAATTTCCACTTGGCATCATCCCTTAAGTTCCTTCCATTTTGCTGAAAATAGCAATATCTCTTCCTTCCAGCAGAATAGTATTCTTCCTTATCCAATCACCTATCAGTGGGCACCTAGGTTGTTTCCTTTTCCTAGTGTTTGTACATAATGCAGCAATAAACACGGTGGTGAGTATAAGTCTTCAAGCTGCCTAGCACAGGGCTCCCCAAACCTGAGTCTCTCTTGAAACACCTTCACTATTTAGCCATAGTTATTACTCTTCACATACCATTTTTCATGAGTCCACCCACTTTAAAAAAAGGTTAATATGGCCCTTCCTGGTGGTGCAATGGGTTAAAGTGCAGCAATGCAAAGCGAGCCACATCTACTTCAGCATGAGTTTGATTTCCGGCCAGAGAGCTGACCCACATGGCACAGCAGACTGTTCCTGACCCGCCCGCTGCTCCCCTCAGTGTACTTCATTGATCTGCCTGTTCTGCTTCTTACTCTGTACCTGGTGAATCCTCTCACCCTCCCTACACCTCTGGCCTGTACCCCAGTTCTGCATGCATAAATATTAAAAAAATGTCAATATGTTTAACAAACCGAAGGCAACATCATTTACTGGAAACAGAATGAAACTCAACAATCAACTCAAGGCAAACAAAACATTGTTATGACATCCTCATTAGATATGTCCCTAGCTGGAGACAAGTCTGTGACAACTCTCTTCCTTAAACAAAGGAGATGGCAAATCTTGCAGAAATGCAAAGCATCCTGTGGTGCAAACCAAGACTCTCTCCAGCACAATCAGAAGCGCTGAAAGAAAATAAGGAATAGGCACATCCAAACCTTAAGGGATAGTGTTATTTAGTGCCATTTCATGTACCCCTACAATCACCTCACACCTGTAGCAGACAACTCCTCCCTCTCTCCCAAGAATGTTGGTGGAGCATTTATTATGTGCCCAGTACTTTCTAGGTTCTGGGAAAACAAGCACATATTTAAATATTTTTCCTTTTTTTAAGGACTTATTTATTTATGTATACAGAACTGGGGTACAGGCCAGAGGTTGCAGGGCGGTGAGAGGATCACCAGACACAGAGTGGGGAGCAGAGCAGGCAGACTGTCGAGTACACTGCTGAGGGGAGCAACGGGCGGGTCAGGAGAGGTCTGCCTCGCCGTGTGGTCAACTCCGGGGCAGGCGGGGATCAAACTCATGTGGAAGTGGCTTAAGCTTCTTAGTGCTGTGCTTTAACCTGCTGCGCCACCAGGGAGCAACGGGCGGGTCAGGAGAGGTCTGCCTCGCCATGTGGTCAACTCCGGGGCAGGCGGGGATCAAACTCATGTGGAAGTGGCTTAAGCTTCTTAGTGCTGTGCTTTAACCTGCTGCGCCACCAGGGAGGGTCCACAGCACTTATTTTAAGAGGGGAGGGTTAGGCTCTGTGGCCACATGAGACTTAAAACCAACATTTAAATAAATAGTGTCTAGACTAGCCTTCTCTCTAGTCTAGCACCTGAGTCTAAGGGAAAAGCCCAGATTCAAAACTATGAAAATCAGTTAGTAAGCCACACCCCTGAAGAGAGACTCAGCATTCATCAGTTTTTCTGATGATGTTCATGATAAAAAATGACTTGTGGTTATTAGTTGTGAAGTGTCTGCATACTTTGTAAGCAGCATTAACCACCCCCCAAACCTCAGGGCTTCCCAGATAAACATGTCCCCACCCAGTTGCTCTTCCCCATCATCCTTGGGGTGGCCCCCCAATGCCGAAAGACAACTGACATTTAAAACCTGATTGAAACCACACGAAACCCTGTATATTTTAAATGTCAGTGAAGAAGGCCACTGGGCCAACAGGCTTCCCCAGGCCTGATTAAAAACCACGTCTCTGTACTTGGATTTAAAAATCAACCACTAGAGACAGCAAAAGAAGAGAGAGAGGACAGGAGTGACCTTTGAATACAGGGCAACTGAAATGATTCACATTTGTGACTAATTATCTCTTTCTTCATCTTTATGTTTGTCTCTCTTCTTTCAAGCAGCTGCGACCCTTGACTCCACTGAATTCCAGGCTTCTGTTGGGTCCTGCTCTGTCCAGATTTAGAGTGGTCATTTTCTGCTGCGTGTGTGTTGTTTTAAACGACTGGCATTTGTCATTCTTTTAAAGTGCACATAAAAGTTTAAGCTTCCTGAATCTTGGAACAAAAAAATAAATAAAAGGATGCCTATGTTGTTTTTAAAACCTAAACGCTCTTTAAACTGTCTTAAAAGTATGTTCTCCTTGGATATGAGCAATATCACCAGCCTGAAACCAGGATGCAAGTTATTTTTTAATGTTACTTTCCCATTAAAAGGAATGGATTACACTTTAAAATAAAATACACATCTATGCATACATTTAAGGAATACTTATTACTCTTACTTTGTGCTGTTCACTTTCTAAGCACTTTACAAATAATTTACTTGGTCCTTACCTTATGTGATTAATTCCTATTATCTCCATTTTACAGAACAGGAAATGAAAGCAGAGAGGTGAAGTGACTTACTCAAGCTCACACAGCTTGAGCAAATGGCAACGCTGGACACAGAACCCAGATAGTTTAGCTGTTCAAGCCATACTAATGGCCACTCCCCTATGTATCTCCCTCCTCCATGACACATCCACCACATGCTAAGTACTTTACATGGGCTATTTCATGTAATCCATACAAAGACCTATAAGGTAGTTCACAGTTCGACTCTCATTACAGATGGAGAAACACAAGAGATGAGGCACAAGAGGCAAAGCACCATGCCCAAGGCCACTCAGCTAATCAGTGAAAAGTGGTGACCCTGATTTCACTGAAGTGTCACCCAGATACTCAGTCACAAGAAATGTCTCCTCAACCCATGTGACTTTAGTTGAAGTCAGGGAGACAGCTCCTGTCAGTGGGTTAGACACCATCCTCAAATTGAACCTGGAACCTTGACTTCACTGGCCCCAGGTCACAGTCCTTAGGCAGGATGGTTGTGAGATCATCTGTTTGGGTCTCTCTTCACAGATCAGACCAGGAGACTTAGTGACAGCAGAAACTTGGCTAAAAGGTATGAATAGTTACATCTGATTGGAATCCATACCTGGGGTGCCTCCCTGGTGGTGTAGGGGTTAGAGCCTAAGCACTATTCAATCTATCACCAGCTACTACAGCATGAGTTCGCAACCTGGCCAGGGAGCTGACCCACATGGCGCAGCAGACCTCTCCTCTCTGCCCTGCTGCTCCCCTCAGCACCTCAGCAGTGTATTGTAGTAGGTCCATCTGTCCTGCTCCCTGCTCTGTTGCTGGTGAATCCTCTCATCCCCCAAACCTCTGGCCTAGACCCCAGTTCCTATATACACAAATAAATAAATCTTCAAAAAAAAAAATCCACACCTGGGATGGGAGAGACTGACACCAGAGCAGTAGTTCTCAAGGCAAGGTTTGGGGTCACCTAGGAGATTCTTGAGATCTTTCCACAAGGTCAAAACTATTTCCTTAATAACAACTAAACCAGTATTTGCCATTCTCCTCGCACTCTCCACAAGTAAACCATAGTGTTTTCTAGAAACTACAGCGTGTTTTCCAGAACTGCCAAGTCACGATAAATTGATTAGGCCCCAGTCATCTTCTCTGAAGTCAGTGCAGGAATTTGCAAACATCTGCACATGGCCACATCTAGTATTACACCGCCGATTGCGAGCAGACATTCTTCATATTTTTTTATTCTAAGTTATTTTTCATAAAAATGTTAACACAAAATAGTGTCTCAGGTTTAACTTCTCATATGGTCAAGGCAGGGATAACCCAAAGAAAGGATCATTTTTAAGATCATACAGGGATCCTGGGGTGCAAACCCTGGAGAGCGATTGCCTGGGACGAGCAGGTCTGCAGAAGCCGGGCCCATGCCTGTGCGCGCTCTCACAGCACCGCATTGCTGGCCACAGGGGATGTGACTGATGTGATTTTAGATGCTGAAAGGCCCAGGTGAATAGCACCTGCCATCCATTTAGGTACGTGTACCCGGATGTATAATGACATATGCTTAGCTTACCTGGAAATAGTCTGTTATGAACGATCCAAGTTCACTCTTCAACAGCCGCCTGAGGAAAGAGAAACATCGTCAGGCAGCCCTTGGTGATGCAGCTACTTGTGTCTAGTTCAGGATGCAAGATGGGGTTCTCATGTCCGGTGTGGGGTCAAGGCCAGAGATAAGATGGAAGAACACTTCTCTGGGCCCAGGCAATACCTCGCCCCCCCCCCCCCCCC